AAGCTGGAAAACTTTGAGCAACAAAATAATTAAAGTGGCATTTGGATTATGCACCAAAGTATAAAATAAGTATCAGTGAGTCCATATTGATATAAATGATGATTAAATTAATAAATAGGTGAGAAGAGACAAACCTCCCATGCAGAAGAATCCCAAATAATTTATAAAGATACTCTATCCTCCAAGAGGTGGAACGTAATTCCCTACTCTTTAAATGTGGACTGCAGTGAATTCCTCCCCACGAGGAGAGTGTGGAAAGGAATGGGAGGAAGTAACTTGGCAGGGGAGCAACCTAACAAGCACGACCTCAGCCAGGTGATCAAGGTCACCATCAACAGTGCCAAGTCATCTTGATAGTGTGTACCTTTGACATCATGTGACGAGAATGGCAATTTACCGCTGTGGTCTTCCTCCCCCACACCGGTATCTCTAATCTAATCATGAGGAAAAAATTCAGACAAATCTCAGTGAAGGACCATTCTCCAAAATACCTGACCAGTACTCCTCAACACTGTCAAGGTCACCAAAAACAAGGAAAGTCTGAGAAACTGTCACAGCCAAGAGGAGCCTAAGACGACAGGACGACTAAATGTCATGTGGTGTCCTGGATGGCATCCTGGAACAGAGGAACATTAGGTCAAAACCAAGGAAATCTGAATGAAGTATGGACTCTAACTAATAATAATGTACCAACATTGGTTCATTAATTGTAACAAATGTACCCTACCGATATAAGATGTTAATAATAGGGGAAACTGGGTGTGCGGTATATTTGAACTCTTTTTGCAATTTTTTCTTTAAATCTAAAACTTTCTTAAAAAATAAAGTTTATTTTAAAATATATAGTCCTTAGATAAAGACAATTACAAAACTTTACCAAGGGATATAAAAGAAAACTTGAGGGGCCCGGCCCTGTGGCTGAGCGGTTAAGTTCATATGCTCAGCTTTGGCAGCCCAGAGTTCGCTGATTCAGGTCCTGGGTGCGGACATGGCCCTGTGCATCAAGCCACACTGTGGCAGTATCCCACATAGAAAAACTAGAATGACCTATACCTACGATATACAACTATGTACTGGGGCTTTGGGAAGAGAAGGGAAAAAAAAAAGAGGAAGATTGGCAAGAGATGTTAGCTCAAGGCCAATCTTCCAGGAAAGAAGAAAGAAAAGAAAACTTGGATAAGAGACATCATGTTCCTGGATGTAAAGAACAGTTTTTGTAAAAATATTTCTCTGTAAATATTTATTCAAACATTTACCTCAGGGCTGGCCCGGTGGTGCAGTGGTTAAGTTCACACGGTCGGCTTCTCAGTGGCCCAGGGTTCGCCAGTTTGGGTCCTGGGTGCAGACGTGGCACTGCTTTGCAAAAGCCATGCTGTGGTAGGCGTCCCACATATAAAGTAGAGGAAGATGGACATGGATGTTAGCTCAGTGCCAGTCTTCCTCAGCGAAAAGAGGAGGATTGGCTGTAGTTAGCTCAGGGCTAGTCTTCCTCAAAAAAAAAAAAAAAAAAAAAAAGCTCAATTTCAATCAAAATAGCAAAGAACTTTTTTTTGGAAATTGAAAAAATATTTTAAAAGTTCATCTGAAGAATTCATAGGTAGAAAGAGTCAGAGGATTATTTTAAACCTAAATCAAAATGAGCACAGTAAGACTTTAAATCAAATATTAAATTTATAAACATTAAAATAGTATGGGGAAAAAAAGGAGGGGGCTGGCCCCGTGGCTGAGTGGTTAGTCAGGTGCTCTGCTTCGGCGGCCCAGGGTTTCATGGACATGGGACTGCTCATCAGGCCATGCTGAGGTGGCGTCCCACATGCCACATCTAGAAAGACCCAGAACTAAAATATACAACTATATACTGGGGGATTTGGGGAGAAAAACCAGAAAAAAAAAAGATTGGCAACAGTTGTTAGCTCAGGTGCCAATCTTTAAAAAAACAAAACCAAACAGTATGGTATTGTTGCCAGGAGAGAGAGCTCGGTGGGACAGAATACAAAATTCCAAAACAGACATATATACTATTATATGAATTTTAAATATAAGGATGTAATTTCAAATCCAAGAAGAAATGAAAGATGATTTAATAAATGATTTTGGAACAACTGGCTAAGACATATATAGATATGTAAAGCACCCTGTATGTACCAAACTAAATTCCAGATGGATCAAAAAGTTTATTTTGAAAAGTCAAACTCAGGGCAGCCCGGTGGCCTAGTGGTTAAGTTCCCAAGCTCTGCTTCGGCAGCCCAGGGTTCAGGGTTTGGATCCTGGGCATAGACCTACATACTGCTCATCAAGCCACACTGTGGCAGCATCCCATATACAAAAAAGAGGAAGACTGGAATAGATGTTAGTTCAGGGCCAATCTTCCTCACCAAAAGAAAAGGCAAATCCCAGAAGACTTTAAAGAAAATACAGGTGATGATGTATCTGAGAGCTAGTGAGAACAGGCTTTTTAGGCACACAAAGACAAAAATACTAAAGTAAAATATTGGCAAATTTGCATAAATTTTAAAAACTTTTCTGCGTTGACCCCCTCCTACCCCAAAAAAGACAGTGATGAACTGGAAACAAAACTTCACAACATCTGTGAGACTGGATTAAGATAGTTATATACAATAACTTATAAAAATTCCTACATATCTGTAAGAAAAAAATAACACTTTAAAGGAAAAAAGATCCAAAAATAGGAGAAAATAAGTCAGAAAGTGAGAACTGCATAAGCTTCATAAGCTTAAAAATAGTTTGGCCTTGTTAGTGGTAAGAAGAGATGTAAATTAAAATGTCATCATTTTTCACCTGTCGTCAGCAAAGGTTTTTTTAAATGACAAAGCTAACCGTTGGTGAGGAGTAGGAAAAAGGTAGCTCCTCCCACATACTTCTGGGGGGAGTGGAAACTGATACAATATTTTTGGAGAGCATCCTAACAATAAGTACCAAGTACCATAAGAAACGCAGAGTTTCAGACACAGCAACTCCCCCTCTAGGAATATATGATCAGAAAATACTTGTGCTCCATGCCGTAAGCATTTCATGCCAGGATCACTGGTAAGAGCAAAAATTAGAAAGAATTTAAGCCCTGAAAAAGGAGGGCTGATCCACTGAACTATGGCAACTTCACAGGACAAAATATTTGATGACAAGTAAAAATCATGTTGAAGTTCGGGAAAAGACAACTGTGTGAGGACGAAAAACAGATCAGTGGTGGCCAGGGTCTGGGGTCCAGGGAGGGCTGGCTACGAAGGAGCGGGTGGGGGCACGGGTGACGACAATGTTCTGTATGTGAGCTGGTGGTCCCGCGACTGTAACAGTTTGCCCAAACTCATAGAAGTATGCTCTAGAAGAACGAAGTTTACTTTGTGTAAATTATATCTCAGTGACCTTGACTTTAAAAACGTCCTGTTGAAGAATACTAAACAGCCTGGGAAAATTTCGATGACCGATTAAATAAAGTGAGTAATTCGCAAAGTAGTGTGCACAGTGTGATTGGAATTTGGCGGGGAGGGCGGGTGTTACTTTTGAGAGCGACAGAGATGGGCGGCTTTGGCGAAACAGACTGAAAGGAAATGCGCCAAAATGTATCAGCATCTTGCTCTGGAAGTGAAATGAAATATTGCTTTTCTCCTTACTTTTTTTGTGCAGCGAACAACTCCTGTCAGGAGGGGAAAATGTTACAACTTGGAACCGTGGCCCTCTTGCTTCAGCTTTCGGGTGCTTTGGTGCTCTTTTCTCTTCGGCAGAGCCATCGAGCAAGTGAGAAACCCACCGAGGGAAACCAGCAGTGAGCAGGAGAGCCAGCGGGAGAGTGGGCGAGCGGTGGGCGGGGTGGACGCGGGCTGGCAAAGGGGG